CTGTGGACATACGATCTTAGTGGGGGTATCTGCCTGTCACTTGTATCCCATGTTACTAGTTTTATGTGGCTTCTGAAATTTATTACCTCACAATTTTGTAGCTAAGAAGTCTGTAGCCAAGGTGTCCACAGGGCTGCACACCCCGGAAGGTGAGGGGAGAGTCTGTTCCTAGCCCTTCCCAGCTTCTGGAAGTTGCTCTCGTGCCGTGGCTTGGTCTACATCTGTCTGGTCTCTGCTCCTCAGGTTGTTTCTCTTTAAATTATCCACTGTTCCCTTACAGAGATGCTTACAACTGCATTCAGAGCCCAGCCAGATGCTTTTCCCATTTCAAGCTCTTTAACCCCTCCATAGTTTTGAAGCTTTTTGCATGTAAAATAATACATCAACATTCATATAACTAGAGGCCAGGCATCTTTTAGGGCTCTACACTTAATCTCTACAGCAGGCAGTCGTTACTTCACTGTGCAAATCCATAAGGGCTTCTGTGATACCTTTCTCCTAGTATCGCTCACTGCAAGAGCATGACCACAGGGAAGTGGACAGACTTCTAAGACAATGTGTACCCACATATCTTGCCCTCTTAGACTAGGCCACATTACTTAACTATGCCAGGATTTGTTTTCTTGAGCTGGAGGCTGTGCCTGCAGTTTCAGGCACTCACATAGCACACGCCTTTGGAAATAAGTGGGGTGAGGCTGGGGTCCTGAGGCAGACCGTCATTCTTGCTGGCAAAGGAACTTCAAGATGTGTCCTAGCAACAGTGGCTGGCTTTTCTTGAAAGCTCATCTTTTAAGAATAGAATCGTACAGTGACCCACATTATGTGAATCTACTCTAAAAGAGGCACCAGTCTTGCTAACCTTTCACAAGAGCAGTGGCTTAGGCTCAGGAGATATAGTGATGTTAAGTTTGGTGTTAGGAAGAGAAGATACAGATAGTTGATAGTAGACATGGAAGAAGGCTTGGAGATGTAGCTCAGTGGTAGAATGTATGCTTAACATGTCATGTGGAAAGCTCTGGGTTCAATCCCCAACATGAAAAAAATAAATAAATAAAATGAGGATGAAGAAGCGGGGAAGGATGGAGAGAAGGAAAGAAGGACAAAACAAGGTGAATAAGATGATTCTGGACAAGGGCCAGGGAGATGGCTCAGTGTTTGAATAAGCGCTTCCCTGGCAAGTGCAAGGGGCTGCGTTCAATCCCCGGTTCTCCCCCACCAAAAAAAAAAAAAAAAAAGATTCTGGACCAGAGTTTGTGAAAACAGCTGTGAGGTTTTGAGAGAAGTTAATTCATGTGGGCTTCATTTTTCCTGAATACACGAGGAAGTGTTTGATTCATGCTCTTGCGCCTCTAGGATTTGAGATTCCTTTGTGTCATTTCTTCCCTTAGGAATACCAGTGCAGACACATTTAGGGGAAGATGACCAGAGGTTGAAGAGGCTGTGGAAGGTTGCTCTGCTGAAGTTCGCGGAGATCATGACGCAGTAGCATCAGTATTTCCTAGTCAGGCTGACTCAGTCGCATTGACTTGGGAAGGCCGTGCAGCCCAGGAAGGCTGTACTAGGGGCTAAGTCAGTGCTATCCCCCAATTACTGATCCCCAGCCCCTTGACTTCAGAAATGGACCATCACGGCACTGCATCATTAGCACGTGGTTGGTTCCCTGGAGAATAAGTGACGTACCCCACAGTAGTAACATTCTGTCTGGACTTGTCATGCTGGAGCAGGAAGAAGGAACTGTTTTCTCATGTTTAGACACATAAAGGTGTACATAGGCATTGCTTGTCTTAGACAGCTTCTTGTGTAGAGAAAAACAGGAACAAGAGTTGTGTAAGGTAAAAAAGACTATTGAAAGCCATGGGGCAGAATTTAAATTATTAAATCTTCGAAGCCAGTTCCATCCATACCTCTTTGTGATTTGAATTGTTAAACTGCTAGGTTCCTCTTATCATTAAAATAGTTGAATTTAGGTGTTCGACATTGGAGGCTGAGAAAAATCTTAATTCACACATGGAATATTAGTGTGGAGGAGTCAACATAGGATTAGCTAAGTGTTACGAAGTCCCTCTTTAGGTATAATAGACATCAGAACAAAGAAGCTGAAATTACAGATTGACTAGAATTTACCTGAAATTCTTGAGATCAGAAGTGTTTCAGATTTCAATTTTTTCAGGATATGGAATATTTACATATACACAATATTATAATGTAGGGATAGAATTCAAGTCTAAACATGAAATTCCTTTGTCATACACATCTGTGTACATAGCCTGAAGATAACACTTTCAGTAGTTTCATGCATGATGCAGGGTTTTCCAACTGTGGGATAAGGTGGTTCTAAAAGTTTCAGATTTTGAAGCATTTCAAATTTTAGGTTTTGGCTTAGAGATTCTCAGTATTAATAAGAGCTGTGAAAATGATAGACCGTGTGATACCCCATAGATGTGGACTGCACAGAAAATAAGTGATGACTGTTGGGTGAGAAATAAAAAGGAATGAGATGAGCTGAATTCTGGCCTGGGAACACAGGTAAAAGGCAGTCATTTCTGGTGTGGCTGTGGAAGCACTGGGTGCTATTGTAAACATCTTCCTTTTATTAAGGAAAATAGGATTATCGTGAAACACTACAACAAATCAGGCAGTTTCTTTGTAATTTCTGCATTGAAGTTAACAGGGATGGAACTAACCTTTTCGAGTTGGCATGCTGCAAGAACAAATATATTTGTATTATATATACAAGATGAGGGTTTGGTCTACAATATGGCAAGTCTATTTAATTTGACAAGGTATTTTATTGGATTTTTGTTGTTAGATGGCTGATGGAGTAGCAAGAAGTTTTTAAACTTAGAGCTTCATTTCTCTTTAATCAAATATTCTCAAGGACAAAACAGTTTGGAAAACAAGTTTTGTTAGGTAGAATTGAATATATTAGGAAACTTAGATACCTAGATGTAACTTCTAAACTGTCTACCTTTATGAACAAAAGTTAATTTCAGGTGTTGGTGTATTCTGTCTCAGCATTGAGAGAAAATAACTAAGACAGTACCTGTGCCACACCGCAAGTTATTTTGGATAATACTGAGTGTGATAGTAAATAGCCTTTGGTGGGCTGTCTTTCTTTGATTGCAGTTTCTCAGTCAGTTATTACTTGTGGGTTCCGAATGGTTCAGACAAGTGGTAGAATCCATTTGAAAGCCCTTTGTGCCGCAGTCTCATGAGAACCTCTGCACTTGTTGGGAGTTGTTTCATGAGACATTACCAATGCTTCAGGTTGTTGGCATTCTTTAGTAAATTGGGGTTCTTCAAAAAGAATATCCACCTTGTAGCATTTTCTTAATGACTCAGGTTATTTTTTCAGTTTGTGATATTTTCATGTTGTCTGATGACACTTAGTAAGGACATCATCTCCTAATAAGGATAATTTTTCACAATTTTTAAAATTTATTTATTTATTTGGTACAGTGTCTCACTACACAGCTTGGATGCCTAGCGATCCTCCTGTCTCAGCCTCCCCAGCACTGGGATGACAGGCGTGCACTACCACGCCTGGTTTCAGGGTCAGCACAATGCACCCGGGTTCCAGGGCCAGATATTCATGAGATACCAGGGATCAAACCTGGGTCCTTATGCTTGCCGGGCAGTTGCTTAGACCATTGAGCTATCTCTCCAGCCCAATAAAATATTTTTTAATTGATACCAAAATTATTTAGTAGTTCGGTTATTATAGCTACACTGGAAAACTGCCAAACCTATGAAGACACTGACTAAGGATGCATGTTTTGAACATTTAATATAAAATGTTTGTATATAGGCATACTACATTTTATATAGTTATACTAAATTTGGAAGGAAATTCATTATTAGTAAACAGTCTTTCTGCTTACATGCAGATACATACTTGGACAAGACATATTAAGAGGGAGAAGATAAGAACATAAACTGTTTCTAGCTCTGTTATCCTGCTTGAACAACTTTCAAAAGTTGTTCAAGCAGGATAACAGAGCTAGAGAAACTTGTCTTTCCTTGTTTGCAAGATGAATAATTGGATGGCATCTCAGCCCCGCTTATCCTGCCTTAAAGTAAAAGAAATATTTGCTAAGCCTTTCAGGTTCCATTAGATTCAAGTCCTTTGAAGAAAAATCTTCCAACACTCTCATCATATTATCATGCTTTATTTTTGTATTCATCGTAGTTTTCTGTTGGTAATTTTATATCTTAGAGTTGAATTTGTGCTTCCATTACAGTATATTATCTGATATTTAAAACATTTTCCAGGAAAGCTGTTAGAGTGGAATATGTTGACTTTATATGTAGTACTGGAGCTAGAATAGGTGTGCTGGCTTGCAGTGATTGAGTGTATAATTACTGTAACCTAGGTCTAAAACCTCTGTCTCTACTACCATCACACACACACACCAACATAACACTCAGGTGTATCACAGATTGTGGCATTAGAACACAACTTTAAAGACTGCTTAGGTCATTGGCATAGATACTAGTCCAGTCTAAAGTATGTTTCTACGTTTAGCTTCAGTCCCCCTTCTGTGCATCTCACTCATTAAGTTATTACTGAAAACAGCTGGATTTTTTTTTCCATTAGTGAAAAAGGCAAGAGTACCACCAAAGTCCACATGAATGGAACCATAAGACCATGTTCTGAAGGAGAGAAGTAGAATGTGTTGTATAATTTTAATCATATCCCAATTTTGTCTTGATGAGATGTGACATACAGTGCTGTCTCTTATTTATAAAGACATTTTTCTTTGTGAAACCAGCCTTGTTTCACAAAACTCTGCCTGCCTTATCTATCTATGTTCCTTTGCTTCGCTGAGTATCCTTGCCTTTCAGATCTAGCATCCTGACAAGGGGTCTCAGACCAATTGGGTAAGATAGTAGGAGAATGAGGGTGTTGATTGCAGGTGCAAACTTCAAGGCGTTTGTGTGAATTCAGAGTATAGGACACAATCAAAAGAGTAACTGGATATGTTTTGCTCTTGTTACAGGCTCTGTACAACTCGATCAAGAATGAGAAGCTTGAATGGGCAGTGTAAGTACGCTGGATGTCAGCCTTTTAATGATAAGCTATTCTTTTTCCTCACTGCCTTGGAGATGGTTTTTAGAGAGGGGATAAGTATGCACCGCCAGTTCTTACTCTACACCAAGTATCTCATGCACTTTGTGTAAAACCTTAACAACCCCATGTATCCTGTAGTTTTTTTCCACCTTGGTACTTGGATTACGCTTGTTCTGTTTTAATCTCATTGCTGTGCCTTCAAGCAAGTAATCATATTTTTAATGTACCCTTTAAAAATTGGAAACAACCAGATACCCATCAACTGAAGAAAGTAAAAAAAAAAAATATGTGGTATTTTTACATAATGGAGTATTATTCAGCTATAAAACAGGATAAATTTGAGTCTTTTGTCAGTAAATGGATGCAACTAAACAATATACTCTTGAGTGATGTAAATCAGACCTGCATTTGCAAACATCATATTGTCTCCTTAGTATGAGAACCTGAAAGAGAAAAATGGAATCTGAAGGGTACAATGGACACTGCTAAAAGAGAATGAACTTATTCAAAGGAAAGAGTTACTGAGTTGAGGAGGACAGGAGAGAGAATGGGGAAAAGAGATTTATGTGTGCATATAAACAATATGGTTTGGATAACTGTACTGCATATTTCTGCTGGTCTCTGGAAAGAAGCAGTTAATAATTTACTTTGTTTCATCTCCTTTTTTCAATTGTTTGTACTTTTTCTCTTAATTTCTTGTACATTTCTTTTTTTCTTTCTTCAATTTTGCATGTGTATATTTGGTGAATTGAATAACTGGTTAGAAGACAACACTATGTATTATATGAAATACTGTCAAATTCTTATTTGTTAAGTGAAATTCTGTATCATTTTTAATTTTTTTCTATTGTAATTCTAATTTTCACTTTCTTCAAAAATATAAAAAAATGCTATTATAAAATAAAATCTTCTGATAAAATTAAGTTTACCCCACAACCCAATATATGTGATTTTAGTACCAGCAGCCTGTTTTGATTCTTTCTTCCTATTGTTATAGATCAAAGTTTTCCAGCCCTGTTTCCTATGATACCGCTCATCCTTAGGCCCCTGATAATAAATAACCACAAAAGGAGTAAAACGTTCTGTGGATAGATACACTGGAGAAGTGATGGATTAAATAAAGCCTTTTTTAAAAACTTCTCAACTGCTGGGAGCTTTTGCAGGGCCATTGTATATTATCAATCTCTGGTAGAGAATAGAGGTTTTATGTTTCAGAATATGTCTGATAGCAAAATGTAGCATTTCAAGGTCCACACTTAGTGAAATATTATATTGCATGTTATGTTAATCAAAAATGTCATTTTTGTTAGATTTTCAATAATCAATGCAGCAATTAGGACCGGTCAAATAGCTCAGCAGAATAAAGCACCTGCCAGCAGGTGCGAGGGCCAGGGGTTCGATCCTGGGCCTGCTGTGCTGGCCCTTCCCCTGGGACATGCTGAGACCTGCAATTGAGACTGGGCTTGGTGGCACGCACCTATAATCCCAGCTCTTGGGAGGCTGTAAACAGGCAGATCACTATGAGTCCAATCTAGTAGTGAGACCCTGAACACCCTGTAGACCCTTCTCTAAAAT